TTTTTTATTTAAAAAATTGTAATTAATTTATCTTATAATAAAATATATTAATATATTAAAAATATCTTATAATAAATATAATAAAATAATTTATCTTATAATAAAAGAATTTAAATTTAATTTATTTTTTTTTAAATATGATTATTAAATTGGCAAAATAATTATGAATTAATAACTATTTTTATATAGAAGATATAGTTGACAAATATTTTTAATGTATATAATAAATTACATACATGTATATAATAAATTACATATTTCATATGTAACATTACAGTTAATATTTTTGACTAATCACAATAATATTTGAAATATTTTGAATAATATTTGAAATTGTTAATCAAATTGCTATCTCTGCTAGCTTTCATAGAAAATAAATAATATGGATTTTGTTTTTCAATCAAGAAAATAAATTCGATTTAATATTCGGACGCTACAGTTTACAAGAAATTATATTTTTTTATATATTTGTTTATTTATTTTTTATAATTTAAATTAATTAAATTGAATTGATTATCTTTTAATATATTAAAATATTCGTTGTAGTTAGTAAAAGTGGTTTTATTTTTTAATGGATGAGAAAAAAGACAAAAAACATGTGAATAAGAATAAAACGACGATTTTGAACGAATTTAAAGATTTATGATTTCTAACTTTTAGGGATTTATCTGTTTTCGGATTTTTCATTTTGCAGACAATTTGAAAATGAAATAAGAAAAATAAAGATAATAACGATTTTATTTCGAAATAAAATAACAATTGCTTATTTCGAAAATATATTGCGTTTGATGTTTTCTTTTTTTTATAATATATTTTAAGTAATTTAATATATTAAAAATTATCTTTTGTTAATAAATGTTTTATTCTTATTTTAGACAAATTTATCATTTTTTTTTAATAAATATTTTTTTTAATTTATATAAAAAAAATCATATGATTACAAAAAACAAGTTATTTTAATTTATTTCGATGTATTCGAACATTATCATAAATTAAAATTGCATTTTTCTAAAACTTATAAAAAATTATTTTTTTTTTAATTTACATTTCTTAAATGTCCAAATAATAAAATTTAATTTATTTAATTTATCGCTTATTGTGAAAAAAAAAAATGTGCATTAAATAGCTAAATACAATTTATATTTTTATAACAAATATATTAAAAAATAATCATTAAAATTGAATTACAAGAAACAATACAATTATATACAAATTATGTATAATAATAACTATAAAATTAAAAATATATAGAGAAATGATTTTTTGATATATCTTTCTGAATATTAATATTTAAAATAATAAATTAATACTTAAAA